CTATTTCTCTCTTTCTCCCTCCCTCTCCCTGCCTCTCTCTTTGAAATCAATAAAAACATATTTTAAAAAAATTCAACTGCTTTGACCCGGGTAAAGGTGGTAGACTTCCCATTGTTACTCCTAGTGTTACAGATTACACCTGAATCTTTTCCCTGATTGCAATTTCCAGCTGGTCCTCATTACCTTTTGCTCAACATTGGACCATGGTTACCCCATATCTTTTGGAAATGAAATGAGCTAACTTTGCCAAAAGGTTAATCTGAGGGAGTGGGGGCATGCAATTAAATGTGCTCATGAGCACATACATACAAGATCTTTCTAGAATGTGATGCTTCACTAGGCATGACTTATTAAAAGAAGTTTAATAGAGGGAGAAGAAAGACCTTGCCCTAATATTTACATGAAAACTCATGTGCCACCTAATTGGCAGACTAAGGCTAGGAAATAAATTGTCATAAGAATGATTTTTAGGATATTACACCATATCCTGCTTTTTGCATTTCCTAGTCTTTATCCACATTTTAAAACTTTTCATTAGAGCCTCAACCTCTGATTCATATTTAGCTTACTATTTCAGAAAAAGTTAGCAAAGATGATCTTTCTTATTTATAACTACATCAGTACATAACCAGTACTTAAGAGGAAAAATACCTTTGCCACCACCAGACCTCAAAAAACCCCACTCAGCCGAAGCCGGTTTGGCTCAGTGGATAGAGCGTCGGCCTGCGGACTGAAGGGTCCCGGGTTCGATTCTGGTCAAGGGCATGTACCTGGGTTGCAGGCACATCCCCAGTGGGGGATGTGCAGGAGGCGGCTGGTCGATGTTTCTCTCTCATCGATGTTTCTAACTCTATCTCTCTCCCTTCCTCTCTGTAAAAAATCAATAAAAAATAAAAATAAAAAAAAACCCCCACTCAATTAAAAAAGCAGAGTTTACATAAACACAGAGAGGAGACTGGTGGGTGCCAGAGGGATGGGGAGTTGGGGGATTGGGTGAAAGAGGTGAAGAGGTTAAGAAGTACAAATTGGTAGTTATAAAATAGTAACAAGTATGTAAAGTACAGCATAGAGAATATAGTCAGTATATTGTAATAACTATGTATGGTGCCAGGTGGGTACTAGAAATACCTGGGGGGACACTTTGTAAAGTGTATGTTTGCCTAACCACTATGCTGTACACCTAAAACTAGTACAAAATAGTAGTAAATGTAAACTGCAATTGAAAAATAAAATCTAAATAAAAAATTGAAATACAATACACACAGCACAGTCTAGACCTCAATCCACTGAATTTATATTTGGACAATTGAATCCAGCCAGCATATCTTTATTTCCAGTGCATGACACATAGTAAATGTTTAAAAAAAATGTCACATGAATGGCTATATTTTTGAGTTAGGCTAAAATTAGTAATAAATAGTGAATTGTAATAAGATCAGAGATTATCATCAGAAAATCAAAATATAGTGTAAAGCCATAGTAATTAAAATAATACCTTAACCAATAAAGAAATTAAAAAAATAAAAAATAGATTGATATTGATGCCAGAATAGACAAATAGATAGAAGGAATAAAGAATT